TTTTTTCAAAACGTTAAGTTTTAGGATAGCTTGTTTTATAGAAATGAGTCACTGGGAAAGCCCCTGCAGCGAGACTGTTTCCCTAGGTCTTGATGTATACTCTTCAGTTCTCTAACAGATCTAGAGTAGTTCCTGAACCTGCATATTTAAGGTCCAGGCAATTTGCAGGTTCTAATAGGACCAAGTACTTCCCTGTACAACAGTCCTCTTTCTTCTAAACCTGAAGTCACTGAACACTTTCCACAGTTTAACTTGCACCATATTCTGGAACCAAATCATTTTCTAGATCTCAAAGATCCCAACTTCCTGTCTTCTTTAGTGCATATTAGTAATATAGAATAATGAAACTCATTTCAGTGTCTTGATACTTGTATATAACATATTTTGATTATTTTCAACCCCATCAGCCCCTTTCCAATTTCTTCCCTCCCCCTGATTTCCTTCCTCATTTCTAATAGTCAAACTTCTACTTTCCTGTCATCTTTCCTTTTTAAGATTGCTCATATAAAACAAAACATTCTGAATCTAGCTCGTGTCATTTAACATGATGGTATCTCGCTCCATCCATTTTCCTTGCAAATGACATGATTTCATTCTTATGGCTGAATAATATTTATGTAATATATATTACATTTTCTTTACTCATTCATCTGTTGAGAAGCATCTAGGCTGTTTCAACAGCTTAGCTATTTTGAATTATTCCACAATACACATGGATATGCAATATCATCATGGTATGCTGACTTCAGTTCTTTTGGGAATATACCAAAGAATAGTATAGCTGGATCAAATGGTAACTCTATCGTTAATTTTTTTAGGAATCTCAATACTGATTTCCATGGTGGTCATACTACCTCACAATCTAACCAGTAGTGTAAAAGGATTTCTTTTTCCCTCACATCCTCACCAGCATTTAGTGTGTGTGTGTGTGTGTGTTTGTGTGTGTGCATGTGCACACATGTGTTTTCGTTTTTGCTAATAACCTTTCTTACTGGGATGAGATAGAATCTGAACTGATTTGATAGATTTGATAGATAGAACTGATTTGATAGAATCTGTTCTGATTTGCATTTCTATAATGGCTAGATTTTAATACACTTGTTATCCATGTGTACTTCTTTTGAGAAGTGTCTATTCAATTCATCTGCTCGCTTACTGATTGGGTTGTTTGTGGGGTTTCTGTTTTATTTGTTAGTGTTAACTCATTTCAGTTCTTTATATATTTTAAATATTAATCCTCTCTTAGAAGAGTAGCTGACAAATATCTTTTTTCCTTTCTGTGGGCTGTTTTTTTCTCTCTGCTTATTGTTTCCTTTGCTGTGCAGAACCTTTTTAATTTGATGTAGTCCATTTGTTGATTTTTGCCATTTCCATTTCCTATGCTATTGGAGTCCTATTCAAAAAGTCTTTGTGCCTATGACTTCAAGTGTTTCCCCATATTTTCTTCTAGCAATTTCAGTTTGTGGTCTTATACCTAGGTTCCTAATCCCTTTGGAACTGATGTCAGTATAGGGTGAGAGGGATCTAGTTTGCCTTCTGTATATGGATATCCAGTTTTCCCAGCATCATTTATTAAAGAGGTTCTTTTCTCCCAGGTATGTTTTCATCTCCATTGTCAATAATCAGATGCATATAGTTGTGTTGGTTTGTTTCTATGTTTTCTATTCTATTCCAACTCCTTATCTTGATGGCTCTCTATTAACAAATCTCCTACCAATGATTCTCAGCTATGAAAGCATATGGCTCTACCAAATTTTCTAATCTAATTCATCTAGAACTGTCTCTGTATTGACACTACTGAAATTTGGGGTCAGATCATTCTTTGTCGTGAGGTACTGTCTACTTCACTGTAGGGTGCTTGGCAGTAACTGAACTTCTACCCTCTAAAGGTCAGCAGCGTCTTTACAATTGTGACAGCCAAAATCAACTATAGATATTGCCAAATGTGCACAGGGGTAGGGAGCAGGAGATGCAAATTATTCCAAATTGAGAACCCCCAGTCTAGCCAGGAATAGCCATGGCATCAAAAGAGTTCAAAACCCCCAGGTGACTCCAATGTGCTGACAAGACTAAAACCTGGTGATCTAGGTCCATGCTGCTTCTCAAATGTAAGAGTGCTTTTGAATCACCTGAGCATCTCATTAAACTGCGGATTCCGATCCAGTAGCTCCAGGATGGGTCCAAGATTCTGCATTTTGACAGTAATGGATGATGCTGTCACAGCTCTCGGTCTTCTCAGTGGATAGCAGGAAAGCAGTGACACTTAGGACCTTTACCTGGACACCCCAAGTACCTTTCTCCACTTCAAGAGAAAAACAGTTATTGGTGATTGTTAAAGCAGAAATATATTTTCTTCACCTGGCGATGTTGCCTGAAAGCATGATAGCAGAGAAATTACTTCCAGTAAATTATTCACTTCTTAGGGATCAGTGTGCGGTATTCTGCATATTGCATTTCACCAGGGTTGAAAGTGCCAGCAGATTAAGGGAAAACTTCCCTACAGTTTTCTGCTTGTCGTTGCCAAGGTAGAAAGCCAAACAGTGCCTCGAGCTGCCAGCCTTTTTCAATAATGCACCTCACATTGTCAGTGGAGAGAATGGCAGAGTGTGGGACTCAGAGATTTCCTTCCACCACCCCAGCCCACCTTCAACACTCGTCAGCCTTGGAAAGTCCATAGCTTTACTATACGTCGCAGGGGTTAAACAAATGAGTCAGGAGAGCAGACTTTTAGTTTGAGGAGGGATTTCAGAAAGTCAATTCTTGTCCCTACAGGACAGAGGTCGAGCTAAACGCGAGTCAGGACGGACTAGCCTTCTGGAATTTACACAGAACTGTAGAAAGGTTATGTCCCCCTCCACTCAGGACTTGGGCACACAGCGGATTTGTACAACTCTGTTCTGCTTTGGCTTTTGTCCAAGACAAATGCTGTCGTTTCACTCCAGTGGTATTTATTTGCACTGAAATCACTTCAAAAGTATTCCCTCTCTCACCTGTAAATTTAGCCAGGAACTTAAAGATGCCAGCAGCTAAGGAGTCTTCAGGGCCTGTTATTTAAATACTACTTGTTCCAAAGGAGATAAAAGGCATCTGGTTGTTTGGGGATCTACAAAGGTCTGCAAATATATTAAAGAATCTCTGGTTGGTGTAATATGTGATGTGCAGTAATTCTATATTTAAGTATTTATCCTAAAAAAGAAAAAGCCATGAGGGGTGAGTAAATCTTGACTGCCGGAGAAAAAAATTCTAATTCATTTGCGTGTTTTGAGTGTAGAAACTGTAAGAGCTATCTCTCCTCTTCTAGTTTTTCATATCCATAAAAGACAATTTTAAATTTCATGTACATGCACACTATTTCATTCTGAACATATTTCCTACTTTAAAAGCCATAAAACCCATATCTATTTCCTTAGTACAGAGAAGAGGGTTGATGATAAGGCTCACATTCCCTTTCTTTCTGAAAATCTATGCAATCCAAAAAAAACTTTTGTTTTAGTACTGGGGATTAAACCCAAAGCCTCCACAATTTGTTTGTTAGCTTTATTGTTGTTGATCTGGGGTGGTTTTTTTGTTTGTTTGTTTATTGTTTCCTGGTATTTTTTGTTTGTTTATGTTTTTGGTTTTTGAGATGGGGTTTTACTAAGTTACTAATCTGCCCAGTCTGGGCTCAAACTTGTGATCCTCCAGCCTGGGCCTCCTAGAGTGCTGGCGTTACAAGAAGTGTTTTGCTATACCTGGCTGCACTCAGACTCCTTCATGACCTTGTGGCTGCCTCTCTTCTGGACTGTATTCCAGCTCCTCTTGATAGTTCTCACTTGAAGGTGATAAAGCCTTTAGGGACATTTAGCAATGTCTAGAGATAGTAGTGGCTGTCACAATTCAGGAGTCATTACCCATCTCATGGATAGAGGCCAAGAATGCTGCTAGAGATCCTACAAAACACAAGATGATCCCAAAGAACACAGCACTGTCTGGCACATATGGCCAATCTTGCTAATCTTGTTGAGAAGCCCTGTCATAGATCTTTTTAGAAGCGCAAAAAAGACCCTCAACTTAATACTGCCAGAGGTAGCAGCTTCATTTTACAATCTTAAATTCCACTCCAACACAAAAGGTATAAATAGAAAGAGAAAAAGAAAATGGACCTCTACAATAAGTCCTTTACTTCTCCGTGAGGATGGAGATTCATTCTTTTTCTCCCTATTATCCCAGAAGGTAACAGAGGCAGAGACTTAATAGGTACTTAATAAATATTTATTGATGGATTTAAAAAATCCCACTTCTCAGTTCAATGATGTCCTCACATAGTAAAGGAAGAAAAGGAGACATCTTAGCTGTAAGATATAGCAGACAGGAATCAGTTCAAATTGTGTGGCATGGCCCAGTGCCTCTTAGGGTGTATGTGAATCCCCTAGAGATCTTGTTCAAAAATGCAGATTATGATTCAATAGGTCTAGGATGACACCTGAGAGTACATTTCCAAAGAAGCTGACACAGTCCAGGCCACATTTGTAGTAACAAAAATAGTCCATAGTTTAATTTAAAGCCAGGATGCTAACCAACTCCCTCAGACTCCATCTCCTACTGTAGAAAACAGGCAGGGTGATAAAATCTCTGCTGTAGTCACATGAAAGAGGGCTATGATGACAATTTACAAATTATGTCCCGACACGATCTGAAAACTTTACAAGGGCATTCTGAAGTTACATCAGCTAAACTCGCTGTAAAAGAGGAAACGGGGGCCAGAGACATCTTAACTTGTCCAAGATCACACTGGTGATTGGGTGTAGAGTGTGGGCCAAGTTCCTTACCCTGACTGCTAATCCAATCACTTTCCCCTCACTGTGCTCTAGCTCCACATACTGCCCGGTACCTACCACTGCAGGTCTGGCTGCTGTTTACTTATCTGTGCTTTTCCCCTGATAGTGTTGCGTAATGCCTTGGCTAAAAATAAATCCTAACCACTCCTCCAAGACCACCTGTCACACCATCCATACCTGATGGCCACATCCACTGAGACTGGTCAGCCACTGCAACATTGCTGAAGTCAGTTGTTACACTCCACTGCTGTTTTGTGCATCATAGTGTTCTTATACTGTGTCTTGTTCCTCTGCTATAGCAGAGAAAAACAAACCAAATAAATAGAAAAAATAAAAATAAAAAGTAATGTGCCCAGTGCCAAACAGAACAGGCATTGAGCTGCAATTAAAACCCCACATTTTGATTCCCTCTGCACGCTGCAAACCTCTTCAGAGAGAACACAGCCTTTTGCTGTTTACCAAACCCTCATTAGTCCCACAGCCTGTTGTCTTAACACTCAAAACCTGTTCATCAATAGCAATTTAGGTGAAAGGAAATTATATTTAAAGAGAAACATTCTATCATTTATAGATTCATTTTAAGAATCCTACCCTCCAATCATCTCGAGATAATCTTGGACCTGCTTTTCTTCTCCATCAAATAGATAATACTGTTCTGAGAACTTGAGTTGTGTTCTTGTCCTGGGTCTTCTTGCGTCCCATTGCGGTATCTCTGGGTCTCATGGATTTTAAGTGCCATCTAGTGGTAGCTCTGAAGATGTCAAAAATAATGGGAGGAAATTTACAAAGATGACGGGTGCAGGGGGTGCATGATCTCCAAATGGTGGGATAATCTCATTACACTAGAATCATTATGGATCTATTATATGTGAATTATCAGTATTCAAAAATTATAAATACCTTTTTTCAACTAATCCTGCACATCAGTTTCCAAATCCTTAAGAAAAAAATCTTCCTTACAACTTCTTAATCAAAAGCATTTGAAGTATCCTTGTAATGAGTTTTTCACTATATGTTAAAAACAAATTGAGGCAATCAACATAATTTGAAAGAAAGAATCTTAAGCTGTAAAGTATCTTGGTCCTTATCAACAGATTTCATCCATGTTTTGTATTTGCTTTGAGAACTCTACCCACTTCTTATGTTACAGAAAAGAGAACAATACACAATTTTGTTCCACAGGGAGACAGACGAAGACATTGTTAGAGTTGGCCCTTTCAATCAGTGAGTTTTGCATATCTGTATTCAACCAAGTACTGAACAAAAATATGCAGAAAAAGTACCTTTACAGACTATATTTTTGTTCTTGTAATGATACAGTATAATAACTATTTATATTATAATAGGCATTATAAATAATCTAGAAAAATTAAAAAGTATATGTGAGGATATATTAGGTCTTATGCAAAGAATATGCCTTTCTATATAAGAAATTTGAGCCTCCTTAGATTTTGGTATCTGAGCAAGGTCCTGAACTAATCCCCCACAAATACTAAGGGACAACTGTGCTTGCTTCCTCCTCCTTAGAAAGAAGGGTAAATGGGAAGATTGGATAACTTTTCTATTCCTCTGCTTACCAAAAACATCAGGTTTGGACTCTTCTGACCCCACTAACTATACTTCAGTGAATCTGGCTGAACAGTTATATGATTTTAGTTTCTGTACCTATTTTTAATACAGAGGCAGACATACTAAAGTGGAAAGAAATGTGTCTACAGAATTATTGCCAAAATATAAAGGACTGGAGTTACAAGCTAGATTTCCAGCTAAAATCTATGAACCCAGACTGCTTCCAGATCAAAAAGGAGGTATGGCAGAAATGCAAGCAGACTCTTTGTACTCTGAGAAAATATGAACAAATGAAATACTGTTGGGAAATACTAAAGCATATCTTCCTTCTCCAGCACAAAGTTCAAAAAGAATTTTTATTAACAATGATTAGATATCCTTGCATAGCAGCTACTATTAAATATGACCTCATTATAATTTAATTCATTTTATTTTTTTATAACTTTAACTTTTCTGTAAACAGTTAACTATTAAAAATAGACAAGCTGGGCATGGTGGCACATGCCTGTAATCCCAGCACTCGGGCTGAGGCAGGAGGATCGCTGTGAGTTCAAGACCACCGTAGGCTACATAGTGAGTTCCAGGTCAGTCTCAACTACATAGTTAGACCCTTTCTCAAAAAAAAAACAGGAAAAAAATAGACAAAAGTATATAGTAGAACATAAATTATCCTTTATACATCCTGAAGACATAGCCCTATTTATATTAGTTGGGTGTTTTTCTATGTGCCTGGAAAATATATTATATGTCTTTTTGGGAAAAATCACATGGCAAATCTTGCATATATATATAATTCTAATATTTAACCAACACTTACTGGTTTATCAATTAATATAACTATTATTTATTAATGATATTATATTATTTCTAAATTATTGCCTCTACATCTAAATAATTTTGAGGTGGACTTTCTTATATACAAATGAATGTAAATATTTATCAAAATTAATTTCGACAAATTGAATACCAAGATCAAAGAATGTGAATGTGTTTATATTTTATGATGGTCTTAGTCACTTTTCTCATCACTGAGACAAAATACCCAAAACCCACAGTTGAAAGAGAAGAGGATTACAGTTCTTGATTTGAAAGTAGAAATAGTATGATGGAAGGGTTTGGGGGAGGAAACAGGCTCACAGCAGCCTGGAATCTGAAAAAGTAGGGAGGGAGATGCTGTATACCCTTCCAGGTCGCATCCCAGGGACCCATGACCAGCCTCTTCCCACCAGGTCCCACCTACTAACACCACATTCAGTGGCTGAACTTATTAGTGGACTAATCCTCCAATGAGAACAGCATGCCCATTATCCACTCACTTTCCTAACACATGAGGCTTCTAGGGGACACCCCAGATCTAAACTGTAACAGAGACATACACCAAACTGACCCTAGAAATGTAGCCATGCTTTTACCAGGATCTTATAAAGGTACAAAGATGACAATTTTTAGAGGGGGAAGCTGTTGCCTTTCTTCTTTAAGGCGTCTCCTTGACTATGCAGCAGGCCTGACGAAAAGCCTCACCTCTTGGCTGGGACATGGTGGCACATTCCTGTAATTCCAGCAATCTGAGGGGCTGAGGCAGAAGGATTGCAGTGATGTTCAATCCCAGGATAGGCAATTTAGCAATGTTGCAAGACCCTGTCAAAAGAAAAAGCTGGAATGGCTCAGTACAAAGTTTCTGGCTTCAATCCCTGGTACCTCATAAAAAATCAATCTCTTAATTTTACAGTGCAGCTGTGTAGGCCTTGACACTGTGAACATCTCCAGAATCATTTCAGTCTGCACCAGCAGTGAATCACAGGTGCATTTTCTAATCTCTCCAGCAGATCAGAGAATTGTTAGCTGGTCTGTTTCTACTATTCTAAAGAAATGTATGCCAAATTCTATATGGACTTTACAGTCACTTTATTGCTACTTACATGCATGTAATTCTGACAATTCTGACAAATATTCCAAGTACGTTCTTTTTCTTCATATTGGTAAGAAAGACTCTTTTGTTCGTGAAACCGTTCTATTTGTGTAACAATCTCATAAGAATACCTATGTTAAATAATTTGTGTGGACATGGCTGCCTTGGTAATAATAGTAATGGGAGGGACAGACAATATAATTCTGGATTTTGTATCTGAATTCACTTAATAGAATATTCTATGATTATTAAGTTTTTAAAACTACAATCATATTTCTCAACCTCTTATTATTACGGTATGGTTAATAAATACAATTCCTTTATTCTTTTTTATAAAGAAGTGGAAATATTCTTAAATATGTACTAAAATCACCTAGGCATGGTAGCACATTCCTGTAATCCCAGCCCTCTGGTGGCTGAGGCAGAAAAATAGCAATTTCAAGTTTAACCTGGGCAATTTAGCAATTTAATGAGATCCTGTCTAAAAAAAAATTCTTTTTAAAGGTGAATGATGTAGCTCAGTGTGAAGGCCCTAGGCTCTATCTCCAGTAATACTTAAAAAAAAAAAGATACCAAAATCATTGCTTAAATTGATGAATTCTACCTTTAAATTAATTTTTTTAAAGATCCAGTGCTACAGCTTGCTTTCTAAATCCCTATTTAAGTTACTTTCAGTAAGCAGAAAAGCTTATCAACTTCTCCCAGTAGTCAGGAGTCTTGGCTGTAAACTCTCAGTTCTTCTCCCCAAAACTGCCAGAAGGGACATCAACTCTGAATTCAAACAATAACAGTTTTGAGAATGAGTAATTCCACACTGTAATTAGGTTAAATATTACAGGATTCCCAATGTTTAACTGTTTTCATTCATAAAAATGTAATTCCATACAATAATAGCTAGTAGAACATTAAAAATTAACATCCAGAAATGTCTCTGCATCCACGATAGACACGTTGAGTCCCAAAGTGGGGCAGCCACATTCACCGCATCCATCCTTCACCCAGCATTCTCTCTTCTGCATCTATTACCAAATGAAGAAAATGGGACCCAAAACCCTGTCAGATTTGGGATAAGGGATTGTAAGATAGAGGGAAATAAAATAAGGGATTATAAAATTTCAGCTCTTACTCCAATCCCATACAACAGAAAAAGGAATATTCTTTCTTCCCCAGGCTCCCAACGAAGGCACCAACAGGCTCCTTCATAGAGATATGGAGCCCTGCAGGAAGAGGAGGCAGTTATCTCATTAAAAAGCAGGTTTTTGGTGCAGATTTGCTCAAAAGCCCTCTTGTACTTATTTGAGTCAAGATGAACAATGTTGAGAAGTGGTAGGCCAAAATGAGGACAACAGGAGGACAACGTGGTCATGCAAAGATGTGCCAGTTTCACTGAATTAGACCAAGCATACTATGTTCAAGGCAGGTAGGCACTGTCTTATTGTGAGACAAAGTGGGATCCAGCAATAAGGGGTATTAGGAAGACCGCTAGAAGATAGGAAGTGGGAAGAGGGTAGAAGAGAAACCAGAGTCAGTTCTTCAGTAGAAGTAACTGTACCATTTGGATACCTTCCTGCAGGGGCCTTGGAAGAACCCAAAGTTAGGTTCCAAGAAAGAAAAGCATCTCCACACTGACATGCAGCAGTACCTGTCCATCATTTTGGCTGGGGAGCTTCAGTGTATAAGCAAAACAATAAGTACAGTGGCCTCAATCCTTTTCCCTATTCTCTACCACAATCCAGAGTAGCTGGGAGAAGTAAAAAAATCAGCCTTGCTACCTCCCATACAAATCCACCCAGCCATAAATCAGGCATGTGCCAGGAGTTAGAGAAGATTAGATTTAGATAAGATTGAGTTTTAATATCTATAAATACCCAAGATATAATCAAGAGACAAAAAGGAAAATTCACTGAAGTATGCCTAAAAACAAAGGGTGGACAAAATATACTTCCATTCTTGTACATCACTAACTCTGGCCTGTTCAATAAACCAGTTACACCAGTACCTGGATTCATGGAATAATTGGAATTTCTGGGTCTCTGAAGCTTGCTAATTGTTAAGATTTTACAGAATAATTGTGTTCAGACGAGTAATCACCAGTATCAACTGCAAAGGGGAGGAAGATGAACTTACATTTGAAAAGAAACCATGTCAAATTAAACTAAATGTAATTTGTTTCAACTCACTCTTATCAGATGCAATAACTAAGGAGCAGAAATAACCAAGTCCAAATAGCATTATCAACAGCACCAAAAAGAGTATTTTAGTTTATTTGCTTGGTAGGATGTGGAAACAAGAATTAAGCCAGTTGGTCCTTGTGTTTAAAAAGTAAATGGTTGGTTAAATGAAATTTTCACATCACTCAAAAATTCTGATTTATGATTGATTCACAGATCAAAATGATACATTATTCCAGCATAGCTAATTCGGAACTTGATTTGATAAAGTTTTAGAAATCGAAGACAAATATAATGAGGCTACCTCACACACTGATTTCCCAAGGTTATAAAATATGTTAACTACTTTACATACTTTCACTGTAGCCCAGCCCCACCACAAGGTAACAATCAAGAGGACATTATTTACTCATCATGAGAGACATGTCTTTTGCTAGAATCATTAAGCCCAAATATTATTCTCTCTAGGTCATTAATTTGGAAATTTTCTTATGAATGTTAATAATCTACTTAGCTTCCTGTGAGACCTTGTAACTATATTAGTTATTTTACTTTCTTTGCCTTGAGCATTTAGGATCTTGGAGTTTAATATCTCTGGAAATTTACGAAGCTTGTCTAAAGAGATGGCCATATATTTAACTTATATGTTAAATAGCAACTACATTACGGCTAATAACTTGTCTGTCCAGAACTTGTTGAACTTGTAGAAAATGTCACATTTCTGCCAATTTTTTAAGACAAATCTCTGTTCTCTTGACACTTGAGACAAGTATGTTCTTCAAAGCAATTTTAAAGTTCAAATATCACCTTTATAACCATCTTCTCCTAAAAGCCTTCAATGGATATTTCAAACATTTTCAGGTTTTCAGTTTCCTGTAGCTAGAAGCAATGTCTGTGTATCCTTTCCAAAAAGAACAGGTAAGGCTTTTATTTACTCAGCAACATATAAATAACAGATGAAATGTATAGGCAAACAGTTGAAGAACTATGCTGTTTATGGGATGAAATTTTTCATTCTTTTCTTTATCACCTGAAGGTTATCATTGTATCTTATTATGGTTCAGATCTAAAATGCCCCCAAAAGCCTCATGTGTTTGAAAGGTGCTTGGATCACGGGGCACTGTACTCATCGGTGGATAAACCCTGGATGTAGCTGGATATGCTGTCGGGTTGGAGGCTAATTAAAGATGGGTCACTGGGGCTGTGACCTGGAAAAGTGTATTCTTGTCCCCCTAGATCCTTCCTTCCCCTCTGCCATCATGTTTCTGCCTTGGAGCCAGTCAGCTATGGACTGAAATCATGAGCTAAAATAAACCTCTCCTCCTTTAAGTTGCAAGTGTCTGGTATTTTGTCCTAGGAACGAGGAAGTGGCTAAAGACATATTTCATAGTTGACTAAAACTAAATTTCACTTTCAAGTAACACGAAACATTTATGTAACTATTCTTTCAGTACAAGTAGCTCACAATGCTGTTACTGAACAACACAAACCCAACATTTGGGGATCTTGACAGCATTCTGCCTAGCAAAGGCATAGACTGTGCACTGGTTTTGCCATTCATTTTGCAAGCCTCAAATTAATAAGATGGTGTTTTTCTATTAATGATCTATAATTGTAGTCTTTCACTAATCTAATTCAAATTAGTTTCTCTTATGCTAATCTTCCAAATGAGTCAAAGCAAAGGTTTATAAGACTAAGCCGACATTAGCACACCTCAGTCGCCTGAGGTTGCCAGACAAGAGGCTTGGAACTACATACAGGCCAAATTTTAAAGCTAAGAAGGGAGTTTTTCTGAGGAAGCAATGACAAAAAGGTCAGGTAAGCCACAGGTGCCAAACAACAAGAAAATATCCAGAGGACTGTTGGAGACAGACTAGGTAAACCTTCCTGGCACTGGATAGCATACACATGCTCTTTTATACAGTGCTATTGTCCTTCATAAATTTTGGAGGCTTAGCAAAACACAATAGCATTATTTTTTATAGATGAGGCTCAAACATTAAATGTAAATCCCATCATATGTTTTCAAGGCACAGCCCTAGCACAAAAATGTTTGCAGTTAATTTTTCTCATTTGGGAAATCTCTCTGATGACATAGACTGAATTGTGTCCCTTACAAAAGAAAAATGTGTATATTGAAGTGCTGAGCCCCAATGTGACTATTCTTGAAGGTAAGAATTTAAAGAGCTAATTAAGATTATAAAGATTAGGTGCTAATCTGATAGCATCCTTACAAAAAGAGAAAAGTTATTAGGGATGCATGTGCACAGGGGAAAGACCATGTAAGGACACAGAAAGGTGAACTGTGAGAAATAGATTTTATTGTTTAAGCCATGTGGTCTCGGGTGTTTTGTTATGGCATTCCTAGCTCACTGAGATATCTGGGTAGTAATTGTGTCAACATGATTGTCCTGCAATCTGCCAAGAGAATTGAAAGAGCACACTTCTGAATGTGTTATGGTGGATTTTGGAGGCATCA